ACAGATGAAAGTGATTGAAAAACCAATAGAAAATCAAACAACTGAGGTGTTACAGGAAGTATATCATGGGATTTTTCCTGACTGTTCGGTAACAAGGTCACAAAGTCACAAGTTGAAACAGGAGGAGAAATCAAAGAATAAAGATAAGGAAGTTGAAGTTCAATTATCAGAAACTATGCTTGATCAAATGGATAAGAAAAAATGAACAAGAACAGGTGGAGGACAAAGTGGGTATTTTTAATTCAGAGACTTAATTGAATTACAATAAAAAGATGAAAAAATAAAGCCGTGTATCAAACAGCACAGACAGAAGAAAAATTTCAGTGTATCCCAGTATGTTACTACCTTAAAAATGAAGTCTTGATGAGGAAATGGAGACCATTACATATTCAAACAGAAGAAAAATGAGCAGGGGTTCAACACGGTGGCTCAGTGGTTAGCACTGCTGCCTCACAGCACCAGGGACCTGGGTTCGATTCCACCCTTGGGCGACTGTGTGTGTGGAGTTTGCACATTCTCCCCACGTCTGCGTGGGTTTCCTCCAGGTACTCCAGTTTCCTCCCACTGTCCAAAGATGTGCAGGCTAGGTGGATTGGCCATGCTAAATTGCCCGTAGTGTTCAGGGATGTGTAGATTAGATTATAGGGGGATGGGTCTGGGTAGGATGCTCTAAGGGATGGTGTGGACTTGTTGGGCTGAAGGGCCTGTTTCCACACTGTAGGGATTCTATGATCTATGATCTTCTAAGTTATAGAAAGGAAATGTTGTTGGTAGCTCATGAGTTATCAGTAGAGGTCATTTGAGAGTAAGGAAAACTCAAGCCAAAATACAAAATGATTTTTAATGGTCTAGACTGCAAAATGATATGGTTAAATTTTGCTGGACATGTCACGTAAGATAGTTGGAAAACTTCAGGCACTTCTAAAAACAGCATCCTTCATACCGCTTCCAGAATTTGAGGAACCTTTTAGAAGAGTCTTAATTGACTGTGCGGGATCCTCCCTAAAACAAAAAAATGGGAATCGATATTTGTTGACCATAATGGATGTGTCTACTAGATTTCCAGTGGCCATTCCATTATGCAATATCACGGTGCAAAGGATTGTAGAAAAGTTACTCAAATTTTGTACTAGATACGACTACCCACAGAGATACAATCAGATCAATGGTCACATTTTACATCAAAATTATTCAAGGTCATCAAAATTATTCAAGGAAGTTATCGATAGCTTAGGAATAAAACAATTTAAATCAATTGCATACCATCCAGAATCGCAAGGAACATTAGAACGGTGGCATCAAACATTAAACTTTAAACCATGTTGAGAGCTTATAGTCAAGACTATCCAGAGGATTGGGATACAGGAATTCCATTTGTCCTTTTTGCAATTAGGGATGCGACTAATGAATCAACTAAATTTAGTCAGTTTGAATTAGTTTTTGGACATGAGGTGAGAGGACCACTGAATTTAATTAAGGAAAATTGGTTCAGAGACTACATATTTAGATGATGTGTCAAATTTTAGAGAAAGATTAAATAGAATAGGTGAGTTGGCTAGACAATATTTGAATATAGCACAGTATATGATGAAACATGAAGCAGACAAATAATCAAAAATTAATACTTTCGCTTGAGGAGATAAAATGTTAGTTAGGCACCAGTGATAGGTGAATCTTTAAAAGCATGGTTTAGTGGACCTTATCAAATTGAAAGGAAATTGAGCAAGGTAAATTATTTGATAGGAATGCCAGACAGAAGGAAAACCCACAGATGCTGCTTGGCCTGCTGTGTTCATCCAGCCCTGCACCTTGTTGTCTCGAAAACCCACAGAATGTGTGTTGTGAATATGGTCAAGCAGTATATGGATAGGGATGAAAAGCAAAAGGAGAATGTAGTAGTTGTTACAACTCAAGAGTGAAAAGCCAAATCAAGATAAATTTGCATTTGATATTCCTCAAATTAAATTAGGTGATGAGGAAGTTTTCATAAATTGGGATGAATTTTCTAGAGGAAAATCGAAATGATCTGAAAGAGTTATTACAATCACATGGAGTGATATGTTGGAATATGCTGGGAAGCACTAACTTGATTATGCATGGTGTAGCTATAGGAAATGCTGTTCCAATTAAGCAACGTCCTTATAGAATTAACAGAAACAGAAATTGCTGGAAAAGCTCAGCAGGTCTGGCAAGAAGTGTGGAGAGAAATCAAGTTAACATTTCTGGTTCAGTGTCTCTTCTTCAGAGACAATATTTTCAAAGTGATTTGCAGTGAGTGGAGCTCACCCAAGGTGATAGTTCTAAAACCAGATGGTAACCAGCGAGTGTGTGTTGATTACCTCAAAGTCAATGCAGCTACAAAATCTGATTCTTCCACAGCTGGAACACTGTGTTAGGAAGGTGGGACAAACAAGTTATATTTCTAAGTTGAACTTTGTCAGAGAAGACTTGCAAGTACCCTTATCTGAAAGAGCAAAGGAAATTTCGGTTTTTGTGACACTGAATGGACTTTGCAAGTTTAAAGTTATGCTATTTGATATGAAAAATGCACTAGCTACATTTCAAAAACTAACTAGTAAGGTAATTTTGGGATTACCCAATTGTGTGGTGTACAAATTGATTTTTAGTCACACATAGAAAGAACATTTGGAGTATCCATTGGAATTGGTCGATTGATTTCAGAAGGCAGGCTTGGTGAAAAACCAGGCTAACGATGAGGGGCAGATGGCCTCATAGGCTGTGAAAACAAAGATTTTTGGGGAGTTTCCCATATCATTGACAAAGAGAGAAGTACTATGATTCCAGGCACTGAGTGGTTTCTGTTGGAAATTTATACCAAATTATAGCAGTGTGGTTGCTCCACTGACTGGTCTGTTGAAGAAGTGCAGAACATTGCTTGGGTCTCTGGAAAAATGGAGATAGAACCACTGGGCCATCTGCTGCTGTTATCCTTTTCAGTGGTAAAGGAAGTGGTGTGGAAGTTACTGTTGAAGGATCACTGTTGAGTTGCTCCAGTACATCTGGTAGATGATACGCACTGCTGCTGCTGTTCATTGTTGATGGAGTAATGTCAAAGTTAGTGTGTTGGGGTGCCAATTAAGCATGCTGCTTTGTTCTGGATGATGTTGAGTTTCTTTAGTGTTGTTGCAGCTCTGCCACACTGGCAAAAGGCCTGATTTGTGTCCTGCTTGTTCTGGACAGGCTTTGTTGAGTCAAGAGGTAATTTTCTTGCTGCAGAACTGCAAGACTTGGATCATGTCTTGTAGCCACATTATTTAGATGTCTTGTTCCATTCAACTTCTGGCAATAGTAATGCCCAGGATGTTAACAATAGGGAATTTAGCGATCATATTGCCATTGAATGTCAAGGAGAGATTGCTAGTCTCATTTGTGTGGTGCAAATGTTAACCGCCACTCATCAACCCAAGCTTGGATGTTGTCGAGGTCTTGCTACATTTGGATGTGGTATTGATGTTGATGGTGGTATCTTTAGATATGATTGTTGCTTGACTAGTCTACAGGATATCTCTCTCAGTTTTGGAGCTAGCACATAGATGTTAGTAAGAAAGACTTTGCAGGATCAACATGGTTTGCCATTGTCCTTTTCAGTGCTGAGGTCAATGTCAGGTTGTCTTTCTGATTTCAGTCCATTTTTTCCTGATCTTCAAAGCTATTAGTTATAACTGAAAGATTACTAGGCCATTTCAGGGGACATTTAAGAGTCAACCTCATTGCTATGAGTCTGGAATCATATAAAGTCAGGTAGATTTCTTTCCCTAAAAACATCACTGAACCAGATGGGCATTAACAATGGTCTCACAGTCATCATTAGACCACCACTAGGAAATGTTAAAGAATATGTAAGTAGAAGTTTCCTCATGTGGGAAAATCTAGAACGAGAGAGGTTTAGGATAAGGAGTAGCAGATTTAAAACAGAGATGAGGAGAAATTACTTCTCTCAAAGGGGGTGGTGCATCATGACACCAGAGTACTATATGGATGCTGGGACGTTGAGCAAATTTAAGGAGAAGATTGACGGATTTTTAATTAGTAATACATTGATGGGTTCTGGGGAGCAGATAGGAAATTTGGAGTTGAGGCTGAGATGAGATCAGTCATGACTCTATCAAATGATGGAGCATGCCTGAGGGACAGAATTGCCTCTGCCTGCTCCTAGTTATTATTAGATTTTAGATTTATTGAATTCAAATTTCATCATCTGCCATGGTGGAATTTGCACACATGCAGCCAGAGCATGGGCTTTTGAATTACTATCCCAGGACTAGAAGTGTTCTCAAATCACATGGATACTTTGACAACACTCAAAACGCTCAATAACATCCAAGACAAATCAATCTCCTACTTTAATCATTCACTTCACCAATAACAGCAGTGTATACCATTAACAGTGGTAGGAATTTGAAATGGGTTATTTGACATTTTGACAGCAATTTTAAAACTTCTATCATCTCAAACAATAAGAGCTGGAAAAAATGGAAATCATCACATTTCAGTTCTTTTTCAAGGCAGACCATTCCGACTTGGAACTATGACATGGTTCCTTCACTGATATTGCATCAAAAAATCCTGGAACTCCTGATACACTGACTGCACCGGTTCAAGAAGGCAGCTCACTACCGTGTTCTCAGGGACAAGAAGATATGGGTTAAAAGAAACCCAAATATGAGTCCTTACTTCCTTTTTTTAAGAAAAGCCTTTGATCCAAAAAAAGATTAGATTTCAATAATAATCAGTTTTTCATTCTGTTTCCTGGGTGTGGAACAGATTCTCAATAATATGCGAGAGAGAAACAAGAAGATTATATTTGGGGGCCAAATATTTATCTAATTGAGGCTTGCTCCAGTTGTGCCAGTAAGGTAATAACTAAATAGGGATGCTGCATGGAATAATTTCACAGGATTGTATAATCTACCATCAATGAAGGTTTAAGGATGAAAAGCACCTGTTCAATTGTTTAATGTCAATGTATCCTCTCACAGGTTCGTTCAGCTGTGAGAAAAAGATGGCATCGTTGGCAAGACAATCACTGGATCCAGACTCGGGTTGCCAGGGCAATGTCCATTCCAACATCTCCCACTAGGGTCAGTTTTCAGAGCATCAAGCAGACAACAGCTGTGTAAACACATAGAACTGGAACAAGCTGATGCTGGCTCACTGTGTTCCTCCAGCTGACCTTCAGTACATGTTGGCCTTCATCAAACTGACCCAGACATTCTCTGCTTGTCTATCAAACTGACCTGGGCTCAGTCCATTACATCAACTCCTTGGTGACATTACTTAGTATTTAACTCCGCAATAATTGTTGAAGGATACAAGCAACAAAAATATATGAACATTAGCAGATTCATAACTAAGTGGAATGGAGTCTAATTAATTTCAAATTTCAACTTTCAGGTCCCTGTAGCAAAATTGACCATTTTACTTTTCCCCAGCCACAAAATTCTTTACTGGAAGCAGTTGTCTCTCTTGTACACCAAGCTTGTAAAGTGCTGTTAAGTGTAATAACATCATGGTAGAGATTAAAGTGGCTTAACTTATCTGTAATATATGTATAATGTGCAGTGTCAGTTATACGTTGCCACTTTGATAATCAGTGTACTTTGTGGCATTTAGAGGCCCTGACAAAAAGCACACAGTAGATAGAGCAATCAAAATCTATGGAGTAATTTCAACAATATTGTGTCATTAATCAAATAACTAGTGTGGAGTTCTAATGCTGAATACCGTTGTATGACACTAAAGAAAGTTGACAGGCCTAATCTGTCACTTGGGAAGGTTCATAGCTGCAAATCTCTCCATCAGGTAGTACAAGACAAACACAAGTATCTTTTCCCAGTTTCTTTCATAGTTTATCAACAGCTTGTTTTCTGTCATCCACCACCGAATTTGGTTGTACCCACTCAGAATGATAGAACGCTAAATCAAAAAGCCCGTGATTTATCAATGAATATCACTTTTACATTTCAAAAGAGTAAAACCTATTTTCAGAAGATATTATTTTCAAAGTGAATGCGTTCCAGCTGAATCGCTGTTCAAACTGGTTCTGTGTTCCATTTGAGTCTGTGTCCAGTAGATTTACTATTCTGGTTGATTATGTGATCCACTTGACTAGTGTTTTATTGATACTATGATAAAGTTGATTCCATTTTCCAGCTGAATCTGTTCTGTAGATATTTTGTTCTCATTTGTTTCATATAGTTGTTTCTGTTGACTAGCTTATTCTGTTTCCAAATGATTCTGTGTTTTAGTAAATTCTGTGCCATAGTTAAATTTGTCCAATGAATTCTCAGTTTTTCTTTAACAGGGTGATCTGGTTGATCTTGTGTTCCATGTGATCCTGAGGAAGTTGATTTTTAGCTTCAGTTGATTGAGTGTTTTCAATGTCCAATGTTCCAGTTGATTGTCATTCTGAACTAGCCTCTCTGTCTAAGACTTCATTCTAGCAGCAGAGAATTCAAACTTTCAGTTCCAGCAGCCAGAAAAAACCTACACAACTAGCTGAAAGCAAAACTAAAACCCTTTAGGGCTGACCCCATCCACTCATGCTTCTCTTGTCTTACCTAAAAAAAAAGTCACCTAGGAAGAACTCAAACTTTTTATCACCTGTCTGTATGAAAAAGACATTTCGGCATCCAGTGACAACACCCCTCTACAAGAGAAATAGGACAAAACACATCTGTTAATGGTCAATATCATCATAATTCTTCCAACCAAAGGGCGCAACCTCATACCACACTGTATTCAATGTACCACTTCTTTGCCCACTCTCCTAGCCTGTCCAAATCCTTCTGCAGCCTCCCCACATCATGAACACTTCCTGTTCCTCCCCCTATCTTTGAGTCATCTTTCTCCATGTCTATCCAGACTTCAGGTATGTTCTATTTTCTTCAAATGTTGACTGAAAAGAGCTCTCATTTGGGGAAAAAATGATGCCTTTTTCCAGTTTTCTGCACTTCAATAATTTCAAAATATTTCAATTTTTGCTTCTTTAAACCATTCCAGCGCTTGGCAGTTTCCAAATGCAGTACAGTAAAAGTGGATACTCTGCAATTGATGCAAAGAAAATTCTATTTAAACAGGGGATTATGGTAGTGGAATTTTCATTGGTGTAATCTTGGAACTTATGGAAATCAATTTGGTGTATCATACTCCCTTTTCAACAGCTCCAATAAAGCCATGTACCACTGCGCCAGAATGGTTCTTGCTGTCCCTTTGTTTGGAGAATCATGATAGCTTATTTTAATTCACCTAAACAACTCAGGACATCATGGCAATCATTTCTGTGTATAACACCCCAAATTAGAAAGCTCCAGTAGGACTGCACACAAAACATGCCACAAACACACATACACATGTACACACACACGCACACACACAAAACTCAGTCACTTACAGTAGATATCCTTGTATACATTAAAGCAGCACTACTTGGTCAAAATATATTTTGAACTTAAAATTAATCACTCCATGGTTGTTATTTTATGGTTGTAAATGATGTGTAAGGGGATGGTTATTTAGAAAGGTAACTATTGTTATGGACCAGGCCAGACCCTCTCAAAATATTTTAAAAAGGTAGCCGAACTTTTTCTTATTTTAAAGATAGGTGTGAAGTGGGGTTCCAGGTGTGATGCAACTGGTCAAACCACTCGGCTTTAAGCAAAAAATAATTTATTTAAACACTGCAGTCGAAGAAACCGGAATTTAGAAAAGCTTAACTATTGGAAAACTTAACCGGCCTGATACAGCAACTCAATTAATTAACTGTTCCAATATAGCAATATCCCATAAACACACCTCTGGGCAAAAAGGTAAATCCAAACACAGATTCTTACTAGCAGGAGGGAACAACATCCAGAGAGGTTTCAGAGAAAGCCAGTTAGGAATCCTTTACTGAAGCTCGCAACCTTTCTGGTACTCAAAACATCTTGTGACTGCTACAGCTAAAAAATACACTAGAAAACCCTGAACTGGGCAAACTGGCCACTCCCCTTCAATTGTTAAACTGTTTTAGCTTTCTAGCTCCCCAAACTCTTCGGAACATCTGCCTTTACAACTTCTCTTCAAAAAAACCCAGGACGAAAAAACCTTTTTACAGTGACAGCATTGTCACACTATTAGTACTTTCATGCTATAAACTGTGTTTGAATCTGGTTTACATCATTGTTGAATAAGTTCTGTTTTCATGATGAATCTGTTTTGTTGGTTATTAAAGCAACCTGGTTGATGGAAACTTTTTTTTTATCCTAATTCCCATCATTGACAAAACATATTGACAAATTATTATGTAGCTAACTGAGGAAAACATGTAATTTTATGTTGTGACAGTAGATTTGTGAAACTGGAGAAGGACAGTTCACTTTGTACTTCTGAAACTTTGCACCCTATCAGGAAGGGTGTTTCAGGACTTTAATCCAACAACCTTGAAAGAACAGAGATGCAGAGCTGAATTTTATGTATTTTTGGTTGAGTCCAAATTGTGATGAGTTTTTTGATGGATTTTTTGTCTCAAGGCCTAATGAGTTTATCACCATCACACACAATGAGTTGAATCACCATCACACACAATGAGTTGAATCACCATCACACACTTAGGTTAGGACAAGGGTTAGGTCTAGGCCAAGTAGGGTTAGTTTTAGGCTTATAGTTAGGGTTAGGGTTAGGGTTAGGGTTAGGGTTAGGTCTCAGGCGGGGGCTACGGGTTGGGATAAGTTTAGTATTATGATTAGGGTGCTTGTTAGGGCTAGGTCTAGGACTCAGGGTAGGGCAGAGTCAGGGATGGGGCAAGGGCTAGGCTACAGCCTAGAGTGAGGGGTTGCGTTAGGGTTAGGGTTAGATTTAGGGATAGAGCTAGGGCAAGAGCAAGGGTGAGGGTTAGGATAAGGGTTATGATGTGGCTTAGAGCTCAGACTAGGTTTTGGGTTAGGGTAGGGATAAGGTTACATTTAGATTCAGGGCTAGGGTTAGGGTTAGAGCTCAATTCGGGGTCGTGTTAGGGTTAGCTGTCATGTAAAGAGGAGGGCTAGGGTTAAGACCAAGGTTTGTGTTAGGATTAGGCTTAGGGCAAGTGCAAGCGTTATGTTTAGGGTTTGAGTTGGGTTAGGGTTGGGCTACGTCTAATGTAAGGTCTAGGTCTAAAGCTAGGTCTAGGGCTAGAGTTCGGGTTAAGGTAAGGTTTAGGGTTAGGTATGTGTTAGGGCTAGGGTTATGATTAGGGTTAGGGTTATGGTGTTGGTTAAGGCTAGGGCTAGGGCTAAGGCTACGGATAGCGTTAGGATTAGGTTTAGGGTTACAATTAGGGTTAGGGTTAGGATTACAGATACGTCTACAGCGAGGGTAAGTGCTGCTGTAGTGAAAGGCTGAGGGCTAAGGCTGGGGCTAGGGTTAGATTTAGGATTAACAATAGGGCTAGGTAAGGTCACAGCCTAGGGTAAGGGGTTGATTAGGAATAGGGCAAGGGCTAGGATAAGGGTTAAGGCTAGGGTTAGGTTTAGGGTTAATGTTATGGTGTGGGTTAGGGTTCATAGTATGTTTTGGGTTAGGGCTAAGGATAAAGTTAGGTTTAAGGTTGGGGATTGGATTAAGGCTAGGGTTAGGGTTAGAGTTCAGTTAGGGTTAGGATTAGGGGTAGGGCTAGTGTAAGGACAAGGGCTAGGGCTAAGGCCACATTCTGTGTTCGGGTTTGCATTAGGGCATGGTCTAGGATCAGGTTTAGGGTTTGAGTTGAATTAGGGTTCTGGCTGGATATAATTTAAGGGCAAGGGCAAGGGCTAGGACTAGGCCTAGGCCTAGGGCTAGGGCTAGGACTACAGATATAGCCAAGGTTAGCACTAGGTTCATGGTTACGTTTAGGGTTAGCGCTAGGACTAGGGTTAGGGTACGGTTAAGGTCAGAGTTAGGATTAGGGTCAGGATGTGGGCTAGGGCAAGGGTGGAGCTAAGGTTAGGGTTAGGGTTAGGCCTAGGGTTTGGATTAGTGTTAGAGTCAGGGTTAGGGTGAATGTTTATTTCAGTGAGTTAAGCACTTCAGAAGACTAAAATCTGAACTTCACCAAATGACTCAATTTTTAATGTTTATTTGACTGACATGCTTATTTCTGTGAGATAAGCACTTAAGAAGTAAAAAATCTGAACTTCACCAAATGACTCAACTTTGGATGTTGTTTTGACTAATGTGTTTATTTCAGTGAGATAAGGACCTCAGAACCCAACAATCTCAACTTCACCAAATGACTCAAATTTTGATGTTGTTTTGACTAATATGCTTATTTCAGCGAGTTAAGGACTTCAGAAGGCAAAAATCTCAACTTCACCAAATGACATAAATTTTGATGTTGATTTGAGTAACATGCTTATTTCGTTGAGATAAGCACTTCAGAAGATCACAATCTAAACTTAACCAAATGACTTGATTTTTTGTTAATGCTGGTTTGACTAACATGCTTATTTTATCGTTTTAAGCACTTCAGAAGAGTAAAAGCTGAACTTCACCAAATGACTCAATTTTTGCTGTTGGATTGACTAACATGCTTATTTGAGTGAGATAAGAACTTCAGAAGTCAAAAATCTGAACCTCACCAAATGACCTAACTTTTGCTGCTGCTTTGACTAAAATGCTTATTTCAGTGAGATAAACCCTGCAGAGGACAAAAATCTCAACTTCACCAAATGACCGAACTGTTGATGCTGGTTAGACTAAAATCAAGATAAGCATGTCAGAAGACCAAAATCTCAACTTCACCAAATGACTTAATTTTTGTTGCTGTTTTCACTAACGTGCTTATTTCACTCAGATAAGGACTTCAGAATTACAAAATCTCAACTTCACCAAATGCCCTGACTTTTGATGCTGGTTTGATTAAAATGCTTATTGCAGTGAGATAAGCACCTCAGAGCCAAAAATATCAACTTCACCAAATGACTCAAGTTTTGATGTTGGTTTCACTAACATGCTTATTTTATCATGTTAAGCACTTGAGAAGTCAATAATTTGAACTTCATCAAATGTTCTAACTTTTGACGCTTGTTAGACTAAAATGCTTATTTAAGCAAGAAAAGCATATCAGAAGACCAAAATCTCAACTTCACCAAATGAGTCAACTTTTAATGCTGGTTTGACTAACATGCTTATTTTATCGTGTTAAGCACTTCAGAAGAGTAAAAGCTGAACTTCAACTCACTCAAAATTTGATGTGGTTTGACTAAAATGCTTATTTGAGTGAGGTAAGCACTTCAGAAATCAAAAATCTCAACTTCACGAAATCACCTAACTTTTGATGCTGGTTAGACTGAAATGCTTATTTCAGTGAGATAACCACTTCAGAAGTCAAAAATCTCAACTTCACCAAAAGAACTAACTTTTGTTGCTGGTTGGAATAAAATGCTTATGTAAGCAAGATAAGCATATCAGAAGACAAAAATCTCAACTTCACCAAATGACTCAACTTTTGATGCCCGTTTGACTAACATGCTTATTTCAGTGAGATACGCACCTCAGAGCCAAAAAAATCAACTTCACCAAATGACTCAATTTTTGATGTTGGTTTCACTAACATGCTTATTTCAGTCAGATAAGCACTTCAGAAGTCAAAAATCTCAACTTCACCAAATGACCTAACTTTTGATGCACGTCAGACTAAAATGCTTATTTAAGCAAGAAAAGCATATCAGAAGACCAAAATCTCAACTTCACCAAATGACACAACTTTTGATGACCATTTGACGAACATGCTTATTGCAGTGAGATACGCACCTCAGAGCCAAAAAAATCTCAACTTCACCAAATGACCTCACTTTTGATGCTGGTTTGACTAAAATGCTTATTTCAGTGAGAAATGCACTTCAGAAGTTCAAAATCTCAACTTCACCAAATGACCTAACTTTTGTTGCTGGCTAGAATAAAATGCTAATGCAGGTAAGATAAGCATATCAGAAGACAAAAATCTCAACTTCACCAAAAGACCTCACTTTTGATGTTGGTTTGACTAAAATATTTATTTAAGTGAGATAAGCATTTCAGAAGTCAAAGATCTCAACTTGACCAAATCACCTAACTTTTGATGCTGGTTTGACAAAAATGCTTATTTCAGTGATAAAAGCACTTCAGAAGTTCAAAATCTCAACTTCACCAAATGAACTAACTTTTGTTGCTGGTTAGAATAAAATGTTTATGTAAGCAAGATATCAGAAGACAAACA